CTTTGTACCTCTTGGCGCGCGTTTTATCGCACTTCAAACAGGCGTCATTCATCCACTCTGGCTTCACTGTTCACAAATACGAGACGGCGTATGTGTGCGAAGCAACGTAAGATGGCCGCCACAGTACCTTCTCCTTACACCTCGAGCTTCGTTCTCCTCTTCTGGAATCTAACTTTAAGCTCCATCCTTTCATTTCTAGACTCATGATCCTTTAGGTCCAACGGATGCTGGGCAACTGCAGGAGGAAATGTCCTATGTCTTTGCAGCTTAGGTAAAGAGAGGAAAGAGGGACACGATAAGCAGCATAACGGTGTCAGGAGGACAGCGAAGCGCGGACGCGTCCGCACTTCGACAGAGCGAGACGGTCGCGGCGGAGGGACCGCCTTTGTTTTGAATCCCGCTAGGAACGCGCTAGACCACGCCCCTATCGCCGCCATTATTAGCGGCCGGTGTACGCGAGCATTGTTTTTCGCCGGCGCGTCGGTTATCGTCGTTACGTCACCGTTTATCGCGCTATCGGTGATTACTCGCGCGTCACGTGTAGCAAGCGCTGCCGAGCCGCAGCCCGAGAGGTGAGAGAACGCCCCACCCACTCTGCCCGAAACGAGGAGGAACTTCGGACCGATCGAACGACGAAAGTCGACCAACTGGAGAGTAAAAACGTTTATACCCATCCTTCGGGGCATTTCAAGACTCGCGCGAGTCAGGATTCATTTCTTCGACCGATCCGACCAGGTCGGCCGTAAGGGCACCCATGTACGCGAAAACGTAACCTCGTGAGAACGCGTCGTCCGTCGTTCTTTGCGCGCACGAAGTGAAGTAGACAACGGGAAGAGACCAGATCGTCCGGGCTGACTTTTGCACGAAGTTCCTTGTGAAAAAAAAAAAAGAAAGGAAATTCCTAAGGATTTCTGCCTCCACAATAGCAGAGTGGAGTAGAATGCCGTTTAACCCTGTAAATGCTGCGGGCGGTATGCATGCAGGCATACCGAACGATAAGCATTCGCTATGACCCGTGGAGAACTTCGTTTGGTGTCTTAAGCTTGACGTGAAAGGAAGTTCGGCCACGACGCTTCTTATTGTCGAGTTCCTGCTACAAAGAGATCGGTGTCGCGCTGCTCTCCATTCAAAGGGTTAAGGTGATATGAAAGTGTGATATATACGTACCAGAAAGTCAATATATTTATAAAACTTTTCTCCAACTGGGTGCACCGAATTATCTGAAACTTTAACACGTGATTATGGAGGCTCTAAGGAAGAACGCGCTGCCCGTAAAGTTTCAATTTTCGATGGAAAATATCTTTCGTCGGTTTTCATCCGAGATGAATGCAAAACTTTTTTTCCCAAAAATGAAATTTCACAAGCAGCGCGTTCTTCCTTAGAGCCTCCATGATCACGTGTTAAAGTTTCAGATAATTCAGTGCACCCAGTTTGGAGAAAAGTTTTATAAATGTGTTGACTTTTTGGTACGTATATATCACACTTTCATATCACCTTAAACGGCTGCGGGTAAAATTTAAGAATCGTAGCCCGCATCGCGGCCGTGTTCCGGTAATAAAAGGAGTTGATGAAATGCCGTTTCCCCTGAATCTTTGACTCGTTAGAAATTTAATAAAAGTTTGTTTTGTTAGAGATTTAATAAGAGTGTGTCGGGTTATAAGCGTTATCTCACGTGACGCAGCGTATGGCCCCTTTTATAAGGAGCGCCCTGGGCAGCTGTCTAACCGCCCTTGATGTGGGTCGGATCTCTCACGATCTTCTGGCTTATGGGTGGGAGGCTAATTGCGTTAGTGGCCGACTAGCCCCCGTTCGAAATTACGGCGAAGCCACGCGTTGCGTTTGCCATTTTAACGAGTTGCGTTAACGTAAGGCTGCAGAAAAAAAAAACTGAAGCAACGATAATGGGGAGGAAAAAATGCAAAATTGTGTTAAACATATTTACGAGGTATTATAAGATTCCCGTGATTATTCCAGAAAGAGAGAGAGGGAGAGAGAGTTACGTCAATAGCTTCAAAAATGACTCGAGAATGTCAGAGAAAGTTTCCACGTGTAATATACTTCCAGTGAAAATCATATTTTAACTGTACCCGGAGAGGATTGCATGCAATTTGGTCGTTCTCGGGGCCGCGATTTCAAAACTAATGGAAGATGAAATTTGAGCGATTTGACCTCTCGTTTGGCCTCCGCTCGTACACGCAGAAGAAAATGACGGATCCGGTTTCTCGCGGAGCCAGTCTCTGCGTCTATGAACATCTTTATGACCACCAGTTCTTCGGGTTTTATTTTAACGCAATTTTCCCAGAAATTCATCGGAAGAAACAGCTGTCGTTAGAATGTTATTCCACGATAAATATTCATCACAATTTTATATGGGTATACCCCAACCCCATTTGTACCCCTACATTCACCCGCAAACAGCGCATATGTTTTGAAATTTCCGAGCAGTAATACAAATAAGGAAAATTCTGAGATTTCGTGGAATCTGAAATTTCCGACACAGCTTCTCGTAACAGCATCGATTTAAAAGTACGATCATCATGAAGCGGAACTCGCCGCAAACCCGTTACGTCTGCATTTCCCCATGGAATCGATAGCCTTTTTTACGTAATGCCGTTCGAACGACGACAGGACAATGTTACCGCGTTTACCCTATTCTCCGAGGGAACGGAACGATGCATTTGGTCATTTGCTTGTCTCGTTACAAAAAGGATAGGCAGCTGCGTCAACATATTGGAGCAGCGCTGTAATCGTCACGTGGATGTCATTAAAATATCCAACGTTCCAACTGGTTCACATAACTCATTGTCAGTCGTTCAGGCGGTACGTATTGACAACATAGTTTCTGTAACAATGGCTACCGAACTGCTTAAAACCAGCACACGTTCCGAAAAAGACGAAAAATGATGTGGTACTGCACATAAGCATCTACATCCACTATTCGAATCAATTTGAAATTAAATTCAACTTGGATTACGCTATTATATATCCGTTTATACCGATTGTTAAAGCTTATCTGTGCATTGTACTTTACACATACCGGTTAATACGTAGTTATTATTCCTTAATACGCACGTTTATCGTTTTCGTGAACCCTTTTTCGAACGTACGTTGCTACTCCGTTGCAGGACTGTTAGCATATAACGCATTTGCCTTTATTACGTGTCAGCGAACGGCCCCCACTCCATGTTTTCCTCCCCTGCAGCCCCTACCGCGCCCACGCGGCCCACCGCCCTTCTACCCGCTTGCGTAAACGTAAACACGAGCGCATTGGCGAAGGGATATGGCAACGCTGTACCATCGCTTCGTTATCATGAAACTCGATAGAGTTTCGCGTCAAATTTGTATACAGATATATCCAAAGGCCAGCGATTTATAATAAACTTAGAATCGGAAATTAAATAAACATTAATATCTCAGCTTTATGTGCTCATTAATGCGTTCACTTATAAAATATATGAACAACGGTTCTTTCTGTTATCATTTTAATTTTTATAGATTTATTTGTGTCATTTATTGAAGGTAATGCCTTTTTAAAGATTTCGAGGTCAGGGTTCCCTTGGTTATAATTGCTTTGTCATTTCGATTCATCTTTCTGCACGCTTTTGACTTCGTAAAAGCGCAGATGATTAATGTCTATTGTGAGACGTCTCCTTAAACTCTAGGCCCATTTTTTGCCCGGTGTGCTGCAACGTATATGTTGTGTCCGACAAGCCTACCCTGTTTATTAGGAAATTTTTACAAGAATAAGTTATCATTAAAGTTTTTATTTGACAAAATTTTAATTCTTACAAAATTATTTTTGACGGTTAAGACTGTGAACAGATATGTTACCGTTTAGGCGTCGGTAATTATTAACTTTAAGTCGAATATGAAGGATTCAAGGTTATGTATTAAGTTGGATATTATAAACTTGGACAACATTTTACCGCGAGGTCGAGATTTTGACATTTTAACGGAGACGCGTCAGGAATTAATGCAGGGTTGTATTGCGTATTAATTATTCTTTGTTGTTACATTTTCAATGGCGCCGTTGTCACCATCGGAATACCACATCGATTTCTAAAGCACTGACAAATTCGCGAAACGAAAGTCGCGTAAAAAGGAATACGATTCTTGTAGTAGCCTCGCGAAGCATTGATATAAATGTAGGTATTACTGGTACCTACACAAGCGTAACCTATATTTCAATTTAAACAAGTTGTAGCAATAAGCATCGCACCGTGGAACGTTACCAACGTACTCGAAGTATAAAACAGAACCGCTGCACAATTTACCAGGGGAAGGTATTCAACGCAGTTGTTGCCGCCGTAAGTTGCACAGACAAACAACTCAGGAATGTCCCTACCAAGGCAATGCTCCGGCGTTCGCGCAATACTTCCTTCGCGAAATTTACCGCGCCGCAAAGGTAACCTGTATATTTCGAAATAGTCGTCCATTTAATTATCACCAAAGACATCCGCTTCACCGACGTCGATAAACTCCTTTTCCAGCATAAGGTAGCGATTTCCCTCTTAACACGGTCATATTATCACGGTTCCTAATTTCCCGGTACCCCTTCCCTTGGAAACTAATGGAGCCGAATTTTTCATTGAAAACAATGGCAAATAGGCACGACTGTCGTTTGAAAAGTAAAACGGGTTCCGACCCGCCCCACCGTCCGAGCGGTCAAACGAGCGATAAGGTAACGACCGTCTCCGGTCAACGACTACGACCATTGACAGCGACGGGAGGGACAAGACGTCGCTTCGTGGCGGCATACGTGCGCGATAAGAGGGGCGCGTCGACGACGCGACGCGTGGAAAGTCGAATTTCTTGGCCGCGTCGATAACGACGATTCCTGTCCAGCGCATCGGGAGGAGGTGCGCGCGCCAGAGCGGCAGGCACTCGCGCGGTCGCGGCCGCGGCTCTAGGTCGACGCGCGTCTCCCGCAGTTGCCATTCGGCCCGAGCCCGCTCCCGGGGCGCCCCTCCCGCGGGAAGGGACACGCGGTCGACACTCACCTCGGGGTCGGGCCCCACTCCTGCTTTCTCCCGCGCTGCTCTCGCGGGTCGACGCTTCCGGCTCGCGCACTGGCCCCGGCACCGACACCGCACCGGCGCGCTACCGGCACCTCACCGAAACCTCACCGCACAGGACACCGCACAAGGGCAAAACTCGCAGCGGGTCTTCTCGCGCCGTCGTCGGGCGCGCGGGGCGGGCAACTCGGATGTCCGCGCCCTCGCCGCCGCGGCGGTCATCCGTCCACGGGTACGAATTCGCACGCCAGTGGAGCACGGGGACGGCGCAGGTGCTCCGCGAGTGCGTCACGTCGGCGGAGGCGCGCGGCCGCGCGGACCCGCTTCCCGTGCGACTCCTCTTCTCTCCCCTCCGACCCTCGGGGAACTCCGAAGTTTTATCCGAGAGGAGGGAGAGTCGGCGTGCTCTCTCCGGAAAGGATCCCCTTCCGCCTCTCCCCGAGCTCGTCTCCGTCGCTCCCTCTCTCCTCGTCGGCTCGAGTCCGCGGGCTCGCCCGGGGTCCCCGGCGTCCGGGTCCCAGCTGGGGTCGGTCGGTCGCGCCCCGGCGCCTCGCCCTCCTCGCGTGCTCGCCGCCGGACTGCGGACGTCCTATCACCGATTGGGGGGCGCGCGGTCCGCCCTGGCCGTTCTCTCGACTTCCGGCTCGGCCGTTCTCGCAAAAGTCCGCATATCTCCCGGTCCGCGGGCTCCGAGGCGGGCGCTTCTTCCCTCGGGATCAATCGGTGGCGCCCGGCTCCGCTGCTGGTTCGGCCGCGGGTCGTCGCCTACTCGCCGGCATCCTCCCCTCCGCCCCCCTGGCCGACGTCGTAGCCGCCGTCGCCGAGCCGACGACGTGCCCCTCGCTGCCGGTGGTGGCGATGATGACGGTGCCGTTTCTCGTCTCCCTTGTCAACGTCATCACGGCGCACACGACCTGACGAGTGCGCCGCGCGCTCACGCGTCCTCGCGCATCCGCCAAGGAAGATGCGCGCGGCCCGGGCGCATGCGCAGCCTGTCGCCGCCGACCCGCGGCCGGGTCGCGCGAACCGAACGGGACCGGGGAGCGCCTCCCCCGGCGCCCGTCGTGGTCTGCCGTTTCTTCCTCCTTTTCCGCCCTCTGGTCGTCTCTTCCTCTCCCTCTTCGGTCGCTCGTCTCTCCTCCTGCCGCGCGCGGCCGCCTTTTCCTCGCCTCCTAGGCTCTTTCTCGCTTGCTAGCGTCTCCGCGACGGTGCCTGCAACACGGTCCAAGAAAAACACACGTGAGACCCTTTTGTCACCGCGCTCGGGTTCGCTGCGGCGAGCGCGGGAACCGCGCTCCCGCCGCGTTGAGTCGCGAGATTCGCCGATCGAGAGATTCATGAGGCGCTCTCCGGGGTCAACGGTGATGCGCGCCGCTCGAGTCGCCAAGCGAGAATTCGCCCCTGCGGCTCGGCCGGAGACGGCGACGGCCATCCGGTCGAGGCGGGGTCGCGGCTTGACCCGCGTTTTGTCTCGCTCGACCGGGACGGCGAGTCGGCGGTCGGCACGAGAGACGAACGCCGTGATGAGAAAATGAGACACGGGGTGAAATTAGGCGATTCTCTCGTCCTTCTCGTTCCCTTTCCTTCCGTCTCGCCCGTCGGCGACCGTTCGAGGGCGATGCGAGTTTTCCGATTTTTCAATTGGCACCGAAAACGTGGGCTGTCGCCTGGAGCGAATGCGCGCGCGCGCGCGAGTTCGACCGCAGCAAACGCCGGTAGAGGACACAGCGAGAGTATCGCGCTCGATCTAGCGGCCGATTTAACGAGGGAGCTGGAATGCTTGATTTCCACTGCGAGGGGAGCTGCGGGATAAACACGCGACCGCGCTCGTTTTTTTTTTCCTTTTTCTCTCCCCAGAGCGACGGCATGCAGTTTATTTCGCGTCAATGCATATTGCAGAAGGGGAAGAAAAGGCGACCGAGGCGAAGAGTTCCGGCGTGGAGAGCGTAACTTACGCCAACGTCGGGAGCCGACGTGGCGTGAAAGTTGCGACCGTAGGCTTCTCGGAGAAACGTACGCCGAGTTTTGCTTTAAATGGGAAAAAGACCGAAGGAAGAAAATGTGCGAGGCCCCTCAAAGCACGTTCCCTTCGAATGTGAGCGAACGTATGGAAATATCGTAAACGTGGAACTTGTAATTTCCGCGTTACGCGTATCGGGGGTCGGATAATCTTAGAAGCAACTAGAAAAACTGCGTTGACGAGCGAGGGCAGCCAAAGCAGAAATAACTTCGAAGGAGCAAAGTCGAAACGTAGGTATCTAAAATCAAATTGGTTCCCGGCAAAACCGTGAAGCACGGCAACGCCGCCGAGAGCAACGAACTTCCCTGCTCCCTCTTATTCTCTTACTCTTTCTCTTTCTCGTCCTCTCTTTCTCCCTCTCTCTCTCTCTCTCTCTCTCTCTCTCTCTCTCTCTCTCGTCCACTCTCTGGGCGCGCTCGACATGTCATCGGGTGAGAATTAATTATTCCCGATAAGTCGGAGAGATCGATCGAGGCCCGCCAAACTTCTTTCGCGATTAACGATCTCCCTCGTTGCGTCGGTTCCTTCCCGATAATTCGGCCCCTCCTCCTAAATCGAGACGTCGCGCCGAAGCCGGGGAAGGCCGCGCGAATTGGCCCCGAAGCCGAGTGCCGCCGCGCCGGGGCCGCGGCGCGTCGCGAGCAGCCATTCTGCGCCGCCATTCCTGACCGCTGCGCCGCGCCGCGTCGACGTTCTGCCGACTCCCGCTTCCCCGGATCTGCCGGTGTTGCCAGACCGTAGGAAATTTCCATCGAATCGGTCGGGCCGCCGACCGACCGGCGGACGATCGATCGTCTCGGGTCGGTCCGGCCGGTTTCAGAGGACGTTTCCCTCGATCTGGCCGCCTTGCTTTCGGTTTGCCCCTTCTGTCTCTCTCTCTTTCTTTCTCTCTCGGTCGCTGGTACCGCGCCAACGGCTCTCCCACGAATGGCATTTCAAAATTCGCGTAGCGATCCTCCCGCCGGGTAATTACTTCGAGGAAATATCAGGGAAAAGCAGGGTAGGTCGAATCGAGGTCTACCGCATTTGGTGCGATTCCCCACGCTCGGAGGTAAAAGTTCGCTCCGGTTCGCGTCGAAGAATGAGAAATTGACGTGGAGCGAATGTCGAAGCCATAAGAATAGTGCGGACTGGGATTAACGGCGGATCTTTCGGCGGTGCAGCTAGATAGGCAGATAGGCAGGCAGGTACCCGTGAATAACGGGCTCTAGGTCGCACGATTCACGGGACTCGAGGCCGGCTGCGCGAGGTTGCCAGTTCTCCTGGCGGCCCCTCGACTCCCCGCCGCCGCGCGCACCCACGCGGACCGACCCGGCGTTGCCAGTTGCGGGGCCGCGTCGTTGCCAAGTCCGCTGCGCCAATGCGGCGTTGCCCACGCCGTGCGGTGCAAGAGACTCGAGCATCGGCTCCGATTCGTTCTAACGCGTTCTAAGACGTTTCGAGACCGTCGGACCGAGGTCCACGGAATACATTTTCTCTCTCGTATGCGTATTTGACTGGGTTACCCTTTATGGAAGGTCTTAATTATGGTACTCTTCAAAAAACAAATTTTGGAGCGTGAAATATGGAACTGTTATATATTATGTATATTATGTAAATACATTACGTGTTCTTTACGCGCCAATAATATATGAGTATCGTACCGATGGAGGTTGGAATAATCGAACATTGGAGATCATGGTAACCGGAACGATTTAACGTCCATCTCGTTTACAATATTGGTTTAACTCGACGAGAAAGCTGAGAAACTATATTTTGATATTTCTCATGTGAAGATTGGAATATTTAGATGAATTCAACGAGGACGTTGCTTTTGTAAACAGAGCGTTCGCGAAAATCCCTGCTGCGACAGTGAGCTTAAACGATAATAAAGAGTGATAATGATTCACGTTCTGTTTTTCGCGAAAGAAATGAAATCGTGTTATTGCTGTTCAAATTGAAATGCGTCTGCAATCGGTGCAGGCGGGCAAGCCACGCGGAAGACAGTTGACACTATTGAATTATCGAATTGTCGATGCGACCGATGGGTATAGAATCTCCTAATTGTTCAATACAGGAAATAATCATAGGATGAAATTTAGCGCTTCGATTTCGAACTGCTTTCTTTCTGCACCGGGAAAGAGTAGACGAATAGAAGCGTCGATATAAGGGACGGAGGAATCGAGTGGAAGACGAAAAGAATCATTCGGCCAGGTGTTAAAAATCTGTACTAGGCTCTAAGGTGTAAATACAGATATTTTTTTTACAATTATCCATCGCAGTCAACGTGATATTAAAAATCGAGGGTTAATAGAATACACCTCTCTTTTACTGTGTCTTCCTCTATCGGGTCTCTTCTGCTTCCTGGTTATCTTTTCTATTAAATTAACGTACGATTAGTCGCACCTCTTGGCTCGTTCCTATTTTACCCCAGCCTGGGGTCATATAGACCCCATGCGACTAATTAAAGGTGATCTCAACGATGAAGAAGAATTCAACTTCCTTTTTTCTTTTACCAAAGTTCTTTTATCGAGATGTACCATTATCTATGCGAGTATTACATAAGCAGATATCTATTTAAGTAACGAATCATTTGTGTCGTCGCAAATGGTCATTTGAAAGGCGGGTATTGAATAGGTACCAACTCGATCAAAGCATCAACCGAATTCCACGACGTCACTGGAGTACACGTCCGTATACAAACGGTACATACAGTCCGTGTTACGTATTACGTATACTATACATAGGTATATCGTATGTAGGTACCTTATACCCGTACATAGCACCAAAACGCTGCCGGCAGCGGTCAATCGATCGGAATGTTCACATAACGTGCAAAAAAACTATCACTAAGGAGAAATACGAATTCAACCTGAAATATGCTTTCAGATTTAGGATACGTTTCCTCGATATCCTAATTATTTTCCTCATTTCTCGTCTTCCTTCAAAAAAACCTTCGCGTTGGCATCGATCGCCTCGTCGCTCCCACGCTATCAAATCAACCGTGATGAATCGTTTATTTTTTTTCAATGTATGTGATATAGGGCAATGCATCGAAATAGCATTCATGCCTGAATAATAATTTTGTAAGTATTTTCAG